TGTAATATATCTGTAATATATCTGTATTATATCTGTAATATATCTGTATAAGCTGATGGTTGTGGGGCTGCAGCGTTATGAAACAGGGTCTCTTGTCCCCGTCACTGCGGACTGACGACGTTAATGTGAAGCTGCAGATTCTGACAAACAAACTAAAATGTGGTTAATGTTTAATGCCGCAGGACGAGCTTCACAAACACATATTTAAATATTCAGAGAGAGACAGACAGGATGTGGGACATCATTCAACATGTATGTGGGCTGAGGATGTTTAAAGTTCCCACTGTTTAAACAGGAAGTGACATCAGGGGAAACATGGGAAGTGCTGCAGCGACGGCAGATGGACGGAGTCAAAGGACAATAATATGAAGCTAACATTTGAATCAGCTCCTTTAACGGTGCTTCTCAGACATTACTTAAAGCAGACTCAGCACAGTAAGTGGGATTAATAATGCATGATCAGACGGGGAGGAAGATGTCTCACCCCTCCCAGCGCTCAGAGTGGAGGACGAGTTGGAGCTGTTGGAGGAGGAGGTGGTGGTGGAGGAGGAGTTGCAGGAGGAGGAGGTGGTGGTGCTCGTAGACGACGTGCTGGAGGAGGTGGTGGAAGCCGGGATGAGCCCCTCCATGTCGGCTGCACTGTGGGAGTGTGACAGACAGAGGGCGCTCATCGGCAGTAGACCCTCCTGCAGGGACACGGAGGAGTTCACTTAGATTTGTTACTTGTGGGGACATTTTGGTTGTTTTTGTTACTTGTGGGGACGTTTGATTGATTACCTGCTGGGGCGTTTGTTCTGTCGTCCTGACCAGACACCACCCGGGCCGTTCGGCTGAGCGCTCCACCAGCTCCACGGTCTGACCGCAGCGGACGCTGAGCTCTCCTGGTCCACCGGAGGAGAAGTCCAACAACACCACGACTAACTCACAGCCTCCGGACAGCTGGAGACACACACAGGAAGCACACATTATTGACTTCTGAAGACCCTGTGAGTTATTATTCAATAATAACATCATTATTATTCCTACTGGAAGCTCTTAAAATGGTTGTAGTAGCATCAGTAGCCGGCCAACCAGCGCACACTCTCACACACCCACAAACACTGAGTCCAGAGGGGTGTGTGTGTGTGTGTTCAGACTGTAACTGCTCAGTCTTACTAAAACATTAATAATTACATTTACAATTATTTGCACATTGACAGTATTTAACAACCTGCTGTTTCCTGTTTGTCACATTGAATCACAGAGTAAACAGCTCCACCTGCTGGTGGGACAGTAAACACTCTCTGAATATCAAGACTACATGACAAATCCAATATGAAAGAGCCACAATGACAAATATTGATCCACTAAATTAAAATACTCACTAATAAAGTCACCAATAAAATAAAATAATAATAAAAACATAAAGATTAATCTGCAGTCGACGCACTTTAAAACCTTTAACGGATAAATCAGGCCATCGCATCAGCTTCCAATACCGGATCATAGTCATAATATAATAATAATAATAATAATAATAATAATAATAATAATAATATAACATTATAATAATAATATTATACTATAATAATACTATAATCTCTCTCTTTCATGAATCTAGCAGCGACAAACAAACCCGTCGTGACAAATGACTTTGTGCCGACATCTGATTGGCCGGGTAGGGAGAAGAAAACATCACGTGATCTAGGTCAGTGAGATCACCATGGTTACGGAGGACTCTGTGTGTGCTGACTTATAGTGAACTCGAGCACACACACACACACACA